AATACTGATCAAGAATTTCAAATTACTTTTTTTTCATCACGTTGTATGAAAATATTTATTTTCAAGTGATCAATTTACAATGAATTCGTACAGGAAGATCAATTTACAATGAATTCATACGGGAGGATCAATTTACAATGAATTCATAAAGGAGGATCAATTTACAATGAATTCATACGGGAGGATCAATTTACAATGAATTCATAAAGGAGGATCAATTTACAATGAATTCATAAAAGAGGATCAATTTACAATGAATTCATAAAAGAGGATCAATTTACAATGAATTCGTACAGGAAGATCAATTTACAATGAATTCATAAAGGAGGATCAATTTACAATGAATTCATACAGGAGGATCAATTTACAATGAATTCATACAGGAGGATCAATTTACAATGAATTCATAAAAGAGGATCAATTTACAATGAATTCATAAAGGAGGATAAATTTATAATGAATCCACATATCAAACTTAATCATCTCTATTAATTTTTTAAGCTTTAATAAAGAAAAATCGATATTCGTAATCTGTAATCTATTTTCTTCTATGTACCGTGTCCATTCAGAACGTTGATGATCATGGCTCTCCACAATTTCCTGTTCTTTTTAGCGCTTAATAACATTTGCCTTTTTGACATCTGCTCCGCTATCCATTCGCTCAAGCTCGCCATGTAGATTGTTTGTTGCTTTTCTCTGGAATATCGAACCCGGCTCTCTGATTCCTCAAAACGAGCCACTATCCATTACTCCATCGTGCTTCATTTTGAATTAAGTTAGTTCAAACTAAACACTCCTAATGCTATTTAATGACAAATAGGAAATATTTTTGGCCAATACAATTCAAATTAGGCGGGCTCGACTTGAACACAGCGTGAGTAGACAGTTCGTGAGTTATCCAACTTGGCCCTGTCAGTCGACAGACGAATATTTAGCAATCACCTCAGCAAAAACTTATCAATATTCAGCAGAGAAACTGATCTCAAACAGCGATTATTTATAAATATAAGGAAAAAAATCCTTACAACAAACTTTGCATGATTCCGACTAGCGTTGGACATTTAAAAATATCCATTCATTTTCTTTCTTTTTTCTCTCTGCCTTTCGTTTCCTTTTGAGATCATTTTGAGTGATGTGTCCCGGAAATAGTTTGGCAGATTCACAAATGTACGCAAAGGCAGTCGGCTTTTCCGCACGAAGATTAAAAGAAACAAACCTGTTGGATGCTTACAGAAAAAAAAAAAAAAAAAAGAATGACAAAAAACAATCTACGAATAAATCGATAGGCCTAATAAACCTTTCTTGTCACAGGAAATAGTGTTCGTTATAACAATAGAAATTAACAGAAAATAACTAAATGCATTTGTCGATCGCTTCGTTAATTTTATTGGCTGCTTATTGTGATGCTACTGATGGTTTTATGGTAAAAGAACCTGTTTATATGATAGCGTTCTTTAATTAGGAGTTCAGTCACACGATCAAGTTTGTGATCATCTACTGAAATTGTATCTATTTACCTCCTTTGTTATAGAACCTTGATTCAGGAAGAATTGAAATTAATTTCGAATTTACGATTTTTCTGCCCAATCAATTTAACTATAATGGAAATGGTTCAGCTAATAGGTAATTAGCATAAAGAGAGCTATAACTATAGCTCACGGACAACTTTGAGTCAGTGTATATAAAATCTATAGCTACTAAGTTTGATCATCATAACAAAATGGCGTCGCCTGACGGAGCTCTGTTGAACACAGAATAATCTGAAAACGTAAAGATTTGGATAAAATGCTTTGAGGAGCGTGCCAGAATAAAGAAGTTACGAGATGACCAAACACCTGAAGGACAGAAAGAAATCGCAGATTTATTTTTGATCACTGCGGGATGCGAAACCATTAGACAGATTTCGTTAATGACTTACCTGGCTAAAATTGAACACTTGACATTTAAGGAACTCAAAGAAATAATATTGAGAAATATTCCAACAAAAAAAGAAAAGAAAAAAAGATTGGTCATAGCCAAACAAACCAAATTTTTAATGTTGAGACAATAATTTGGGGAGCTTATAAGGAAATATCTAAGAAGGTTAAGAGATACCAGAAGATGATCATTGTCGCCATATTTATTACAACGTTTCGGCCGTTGCAAGTTCTGGCCTTCTTCAGGTGTCAGTTTATCCACTGTGCCATGTGGATAAAGGCGTTAGTTAGATCCAGTGACAGGACCCAAAGACTGAGAGTTCAATACCCGGGTAAGGCAGTGGAGAACTTTCAGAGGGAAAATTAACAGGAGATAACTAATAACTGACATCCATTAAACATGGCACGTGGAACTAGAACAGTCTACCCCAGTGAGCGAAATAAAGGGTTCAGTTCGACATTCCAACCACCTGAAGAAAGCCGGAGCGTACAACGGCCGAAACGTTGTAATAAATATGGCGACAAAGATGAGGACAATAGTCCGAATAATGTAAATAATGTACATAATACCTCATCTCGGGAATATAGACAGATACCAGCAGATATTGTGAATTTCATGAACTAAGACAGCAAGGAAAAAACACAGAGGAAGAAGTAATTCAACTCCGATTGGTAGAAGGACTGTACAACACCTTTCTTGCCATAAGAAACAGCGTTCATTATAACAATAGAAAATAACTAAATTCATTTGTCGATTGCTTCGTTAATTTTACTGGTTGCTTATTATGATATTGCTGATGGTATTCTGGTAAAAGAAAATGTTTATATTATAGCGTTCTTTAATTAGGAGTTCAGCCAAATGATCAAGTTTGTGATCATCTATTGAAATTGCAGCCATTTAGCTCCCTTATTATAGAACCTTTATTCAGGAAGGATTGAAATTAATTTCGAATTTACGACTTTCCAAACAATCAATTTTATACTCACCAACAAAGCGGTAAAAGGTTGAGAGCATCTCAGAATTGCATAAAACCACCATAATCACGAATCCAATGTTACCTCTTTGCAAGTTGTTGACATAGTTAAACCATTTCTTGGTCACTCGTTAATGCAACATTTTTCTTCTATATTCTTCCTAACGCTCGCAGCCGTATACATATCTATTAAGTACCGCCATTTTTTCACTGAAAAAACAGCATAGCCTAATGAAAAAAGATCCCAAACTAAAAAAAACAAAACTAAAAAAACCCAAAACAAAACAAAACAAAACAAAAAAACAAACAAAAAACAAAGTTTTATCGTCAAAATGCTAAGGTTATTATTAAGAGGAAATATTAAAAAGTACTTTTTTTATTTCATTAAAATTTTTAATCCTTTTTAGCACGTTCGAAATTTTGTTTAAAAATCTTATTCTTTTTGCGTTAACGGTCGACCTAAGAATTATGAATAGTCTTTAGAGATTTTTTGCCGCTGATTGATATGGAAATTCTTGCAAAAAATCAAATAATTGTCGGATTTTAATGAAACTTTCAGGGCTTATTCACAAATGAATGAAATTATTTTTTAATTTTTTTCTTTTTGAAAAATCTTAGTAAAATATTTTTTACACATGTCACCCCCTACTTACTTAATTTCATGAAATTTTGAGAAATTAAATTTTCATCCCAAAATTTCTTTTATTAGTTAAAAGCAGAACACCTTCGAGAATGTAAATCAAATTTTTTTTTCAAACTGCTATGAATCGTAAAATAAAATGCAGTGAAACTGACATTATTTAATTAAAAAAGCTTTTAATTGCTTTAATAAATAAAATTTACTAAGGACACCATTGTCTTAAGAAAACATTTTTTTCGATGAATGATGAATTTTTACAAGAATTATTTTCATTTCTTTTAATTTTAATTGTAATAATTTGTTATAATAATTTAGAAAAATCTTTTAAAATTCTACATAAGTTTAATCTCGTTAGGTGATATTGTTATTAAATGAGAACTATATTTACTAATAAAGCGTAATGCATTTCGAATTTACGACTTTCCAACCAATCAATTTTATACTCACCAACAAAGCGGTAAAAGGTTGAGAGCAAATCAGAATTGCATAAAACCACCATAATCACGAATCCAATGTTACCTCTTTGCAAGTTGATATATATATATATATATATATATATATATATATATATATATATTTAGATAGATAGATACATAGATAGAGTCCATAATATATATATATATATATATATATATATTGTGAATTCTATGATCTCGATTCAATTGCAACAAAAAAAAACTTGATGATTTTAGTTCTAGCATTTTTAACTATCGGATTTCAATGTCTTCCAGAAACTAAGCAAATTATTAAGATATATGAAAATGTCCTTGAAAATAATGAATTGTTTTGTCAGATCTAATTTCCCATATGGCAGTGAATGTTGGACAACCTCCTCTCCTCACAGGCGAAGAAAAGGCTAAAAGCAACAGAGATGAGGTTCAATCGACGAATGCAAAGAATATTGGGAGTAACGAGTGGGGTGTTAAGGAGGAGTAAGAACTACAAGGAAAATGTTGCTTACAATCAGAAAGCGTTTCATTTCATACAATGATTGTACCTCCCCTAATATGTTTGTCTTCTATTTGAAGCTGATCTTAATGATAAATCTCCAGCTGATTCTTTTGACTCAAGTATTCTTAAAAAGAATCAGATGAAGATTTTTTTAATCAGAGAAAGCTTAAGGTACGAGCTTCTTCTTTTTAAGAATTAATTCTATTGGTGGCCAATGTTGCCACAATAATTTCTCCTGACGTAATTGATGGCCGGAAATTCGGCTTCCGCTTTTTGTTTGCTTGACTTTATTTTCTTTTGTTTTCTGCACGTGGCACGTCCCCACCACCAACACCCAACGCAGACGTTTTATTCTGCTATTTTTTTTAATTTATTTTTTACTTTTTTATTTTATTTTATTTTTATTTTTAACTTTCTCCGACATTAGCACTTATCTCTCCTTCCTCAAACTTATTGATAATTTGTTTTGTTTTGTTTTTTTCGTTATTTACTCATCTCTTTCTACATGGCTAAGTATATATGACTTTTCTTTCTTTCTTTCTTTCTTTCTTTCTTTCTTTCTTTCTTTCTTTCTTATGCTGTAATTTCGTCGTTATGTCATCATCTCTCTTTATCTGGCTAAATATATATGACTTTCTTTGTTTCACTCAATTTGGATCTCCTCTTCTCTTCAAATCCTTTTCTTTCTTTCTTTCTTTCTTTCTTTCTTTCTTTCTTTCTTTCTTTCTTTTACTGTAACTTCTTAATTGTACTCACCGCCCCTCTTCTTTCTATTGTCCCCCTTCCTTATCCCCTATTTTATTTCGGATCTTTAATTACTTCTTTTCTCTTTACCCAAGCTATTCATCCTTTTTGTCCCTTTCTTTTATTTTCTATTCACATGAAATCCTTAATGTTAAATCAGTTCTATTAAATTGTGCTTGTTTTCCTTTTCTTCATTACAGTCGGACGATATTAAAGGAAACAATTTAATAAGGTTTTTCCAAAAACATGCGCATGCGTCGGTTAATCGCTATTTTCCGAGGCATGCGCAGCTCATCTCAGCTCAAATAGCGAACCTTTCGCTGTTTTGAACAGGTATGAAAATTGAGTTTGTTAATAATCGGAGGAAAAAAAGATGTAAGTTGAAAATTTTGCGAAGAACTATAGTACATTTTTATTGCAATTACAATTTGTTCTCAAACCCAGACACAAAAAGAACACAATATAAAATATATATTTTAGGCAGTAACAAAAGAATATTCGTCAATGCGTTGTTCAAGAGAACGGTGAATACATTTAAAAAGAGAGAAAAGTAGAGAGGAAAACTGGATCAGGAGGTTACAAATGCATCATTTCAACATACAGCTACAGAAATCAATTAGAAAAGATCCAACTCAATTCATAAGATGTTTGGCATGTGAGAGAGGAGTTTCAGCTATGACAAAGACGAGTGAAAAAAAAAAAAAACAAATTTGAAAATGAAATCGTACGTGAAATCTGTGAAGCACCTTGTTATTCCAGGACAAAAGTTAGAAAGTTAGAGGGCGAAGATCATTTTGAGTAAGTTGTAAAATGATCCGGAATAATATATATATATATATATATATATATATATATATATATATATATATATATAAAACAATATTTATATTGAAATAAAGTTCAAATAATATATATATATATATATATATATATATATATATATATATATATATATATATTAAAAAGAAGAGGGGTGCCGCAAACGTTTTGGTTGTAATGTGGATTTATTGAGAAAAATTATTATTATATTATATATTTTCTTTCTAGAATTGACAATTCTAGAAAGAAAATTCGGATTGCCAACACACAAACAGAATGTCTCATATCGAGAATATTCCACATTGAACATGAAGAAAAATTAATTATTTTTAATAATATGTAAAAATCTCCACTTTCACCTGAAGACGGTTGCGAGACCAGACCAGAAACACGTGTCGTGAAATTATGTAAAACAAAGTATAATATTTTTTCTCAATAAATCCACATTACAACCAAAAACGTTTGCGGCACCCCTCTTCTTTTTAATATACATACTTTTCTCTCGTTGGAACCACTACAACATATTTCTTTTTATATATATATATATATATATATATATATATATTATTTGAACTTTATTTCAATACTTTATGAGCTTCCGATCCTTACCTATGATTAATTAATAATAAACATGTCTAGTCACTGGATCTCACCAACCTAATCAAGATAAAGCGTTCGTTAGATCCAGTGAATAGACCCGAAGTGTGGTGAGTTCAATACCTGGCCAAAGCAGTGGTGAACCAATACTTGGAGAGTTGAGTTAAAGGGAAATAATTGAGAAGAGGCATGGCACGTGGAACTAGAAAAATCTACCCCAGTGAACGGTTCGAAATTCCAATCACCTGAAGAAGGCCGGAATGTACAACGGCCAAAACGTTATGAATATGGCAATGAACATGGGAATAACAGACAGAATAATGTAAATAATGTAGTTTAGTGGTTTTTTTTCATAAGCTTGATGAAAAGAAGAGACAGAGAGAGAGAGAGAGAGAGAGAGAGAGAGAGAGAAAGAGAGAGAGGGAGGAGTGTTGCCTTCAAGACCTAAACCTAAATCTCAAGTTAATTCATAGTTCAAAATTCAGAAAATTGGTCGCTTCCTTGTGTCACTTAAGAAAGTATCTGACTCATCCTACTATGGTCTATCTTTACAAAAATCATATCAGATCAGAAGTGGCTTATTGCTCCCATATCTGGGCTGGAGTTGAACCAGTTCTCATTTTCCAGCGTTGAAAAAGCCTTTACACGGCCTTGTGGGTAATTAATTATTTTCTAACCTACAGCCCCTTTCCCACAGACGAAACGTTGATAGCCTCTCGTTACTCTACCGCTATTTCTATGGCAAATGTTCAGACGTGCTACAATCCTTAGTTTCATCGGTTTCAGACTTTCACAGAGAGGACACGTCATGTCATGTACACAGGGTAGACTCATCCTCATCCCCCTCTTATTCCAATGGTCCAAGAATTGCTACTTTGTGGAAGAGACTCCTGAAAAGATGTTTTCCCAATCACAACGATCTTCTTCAAGTCAAGGGTTAACCGTTGTTTTTCCTACATGTAATCATAAACTACTCACTTTTACTTCCTCAGCTTACGCTCAAACAACAATCTAATTTAGTAACCCTCTACATTGAGTGGCTCTTGGGGATTATATTGGGCGAAAAACTAGTAAAAAAAGACTACTTGTTGTTGCTGTTTCTCTACCTTGATTCGTCTCATCTTTCATCCATTATGACAATCACTAAAATGAACAAACAAATTCAGTTTTAATAAAGAAAAAAAAAAAGAATTATTGTTCCATTTTCCATATAAGGGGTCTATGTACCAACCGGAATTTGAATTTTATCTTCAAGAGATCGAACCTGATCAAGTGCATCTTTTCGAAGTATCGATTAACCTACCCCAGTGCTAGAATTCTGGAACTACTTAAACAGACGGGCCCACTCGTAAAAAACAGGGAAACTTTTTCTGGGAAATAATTTTTGTAGATTAGCATTTTTTATCTTTAGGCCACGATACGTGTCAGGGGCGAAAAACGTCCATTTTTTATCGATTTAGAATGGGGGTTCTGTTTATAATATCAATTCAGTAGCAAATCGATCCCTGACTTGTACAGTGTTATTTACTTAGGCTAAGCTACTTAGCTTTCATTTGCAATGTTTAAAACTATTCCAATACCATTGACAACTGTATATTTTCCTAATTTTCTTACAAATGTGCATCATTAAACGATCATGTAGATTGTATGGGAAGTTCTGCATGTAAAATAATTTCTAATACTGTCACCATCAGTTTACAGGACATTTTATCTGGTCGCTGATTCGAAAGAGATATTGCAAACATTTCCAAAAAGTTAATGTAAATATTCTGATGTCTAATCAGATTGGTAATTAGCCGTTTCCATGCAGGAAAGAGTAATGGATAGTGGCTCGGATTGAGGAATCGGAGAGCCGAATTCAAATTCCAGTCGAGTTCATTGCATTCACTTATGTGCTAATACTCTTGTGAAAGGTATGAATCCAAATTAATAATAGGACTGAGTGGGTTCTATAACCTTGGATAGCACAGATATGAATCCAACTCTTCTCAATAATAAGACAGACTGGGTTCTATAGCCTTCAATGGTAAAGGTATGAATCCGACTGATCTCAATAATAGGACAGGATGGGATAGATGGTTTTCCTAGACTGGTTGCATTGGATGAAAACTCTGAATTCTAAACTGTATTTAGCCATGGCGAAGTACATACTATGCCGCTAAGGTAAGGATCGTCAGCATCGACTCGATGATCCAGACTACGGTCGATTCCTTTTTTTTATACAGGAAACATTTGGCACACATGACCAAACTTTTAGCGTTACTGTTGATTGAAATTTATAAAATATTTCGCTTTAAAAAGCTTTTCAGGAGAATAGGTTTCTGAAGTCCACTAACTGTTATCGCTCTTTCTAGTACTGATAGGGGCTTCTATAGCCTTCCTGACATTTCGTTTGTAGTAATGTGGAATGTCAACATCTTGATTATGTCATTATTTTCTCTCTGAATTGCATATGCTATCCATTTTAGTTGTTGCTGCCATTGAAAGTCTTCATGTGATTCTTTGTTTATGATTCTATAGCGCCAACCTATGAAATCTGTTGAGGGATAGTCTTTTATTTTATTCATTCGTTCGAAGCCATTTTTAATTATTGATCTGAGAAAACGGTTGTATATAGCTAAGAGTTTAGATATTTCTTAGTTGGATGCTATGTATGATATCCGTATGAGCGTCTAGAACTGACGTGGCTATTTAAGGATACGACTCGAGTTCTTGCAGCTATTAGTAACGGATGCATGCTGGAAACTTTTGCATTGACCAAATATTTACAATTTAGCTGAACTATGGCGAAAACATAGGAAAATAATTTGTTGACTGAATAATGATACTATGAATTTATTGGAAACATTTGCAAAAACTTCATAAAATGAAATAAGTAATTTAGCTCCAATGTAGCGTAAAGTCACAGAAATGCCAGGGGAAATAATTTGATGACTGAATAATGATGCCATGAATTTACATGAATAAAAGATTTTGTCAAATATATACTGGTAAACCTTTGCATTAAGTTAAAATATGTGGTTCTGAAAAAATTTCACTCCGACCAAGAAGCCATTTAAAAAAAAGATAAATATATATAAATTCGATACCCAAGGTTTAAAAAATGAAAAATCTTTTGAAGTTTTTCTTTTAGCTTTAATTTCATGCTAAAAGTTTAACTTTAATATTTCGTAAAATACTTTGCTGTATTTCAAACCGAATTTACATTGATTGGAATTATCTTTTTTATTGTAAGTAAAATCTATATAATCTTCCATATCGACAAATCTGTCAACACAACATAATTCCCTTTATTAAAAAAAAATCTTTAAAAAAATAAAATATACCTTTCTGAAACATCATACGAGAAAAATTAGCTGATTGAAAGTTTAATTAATCTGAATTGAAACATATTACTTACCTTTAATTTAAAATATCGCAGAAAGTCATTTTTCTTGCATGGAGGTGCGTGTTTTTATGAGGTGTTGACAGATCTACGACAGTCTGATGTTTGGGAAATTTAAGTAAGAAAGAGAGAATTGAAATATAAGTACATGACGAACACAACCTTTTTTATAACTATTTTTTAAAACTA